CATGCTGGCACATCTCAAGGAGGCCTTCTACATGCTGATGGCCTGGGGCGCGGCAAGAATTTCAAGTTTGAATTGCTACATAGCGTTACAAGTTTGAATAACGGTATTTGATTCTTTCTTCAAGATTTGTGTGTGTAGGAATAATGCAATTATAGCTAATGACCGCATTCCAGCCAACCCCTTCCCCTCCCAACCCACATCCCCCACAGTCCCCCACACCCCCCCCTTCTTCCCTCCCTTCCCCCCCTCTCCCCCCTTCCCCCTTGCCTCTCTTCTCCCTCTCAAGTTTGTTTATGTGGTGTCTAATCAGGATGACTGGATCAGGAATGTCAGAATGTTATAATTGTCTAGCCTGCAGTGGGGTACTCTATAGCGAGTACAACCCAATTAGGGTTTCCTATATGTATGCCACCTGCTGCTAGTGCAATCTCTCTTCTTCATTCGTCATTCTTCACAAGGAATACATTCGTTTTAAATGTAGTTTGTGTATGCTATAAAAAGGGATCCATGTAAGTGTGACACACTGTTACCAACATACCGTACCCACCAAACACAAATCAGAACACGTGCATTTTATCCTCGGTGACAAGAATGTGATGTCACAACAATCCCACTACTATATGATCATAATACATACATTGGATACACCACAAAAACGCAAGAACTTGCGGTCCCAGACTAGACCAACCGCAATATCACGTACAACCCCAAAACAGACAACGATGTTTGCAAGAACCTGATTGCTAAGGCACGTACGGAGGAAAGGCGCCCTTTTGACTGTCCACCCAGTCCTACTAGGGCGTACAGATAATACCAGTCTTGGGACGACCGTAGCAATCGTACAGGTTAAATAGCATTAATAATTTTCTCGAATTGAAATAATAATTCACGAGTAAGGCCGAACATGTATCCGTGCTTGTCACCGTCTGAGTCTTAGTTCCCTAGGGGCACGTCGTCACAGCCGTACTCGGAAGAACTATTGTGAAAAATGGGAGGGGGAGTATAAGTAGTAGAACGGGGACTGTAGAGTAACCAAGGAAATATTTCACTGAAAGGCGACTCCGCTGGACAAGATTTTACAACTTCTCAAGTTGAGTCTGAAGCCAGCGTGAGGATTATAATGAGGGCTACTCGACGGTCGAGAATGATGAGTGCGCGTGAAACTTACCAGCAGAGGAGAGTGTCAGAATATTATCTTATGTTCTCTAGCCTGCAGTGGGGTACTCTATAGCGAGTATAGCCCCTTAGGGTTTCGTATATGTATCCCCTTGCTTGCTAGTGCAAACCCCTCTTTTGCCTAACTTCTTTCTTGCCTAGCTAGGTCGTTCCTAGCTATGGCTCCTTCCATTACGCTACTATCTTCACATGGTGTCAGAGCGGTTACGCTCTCGGCCTGTGGGTACTACTGCTTCCGCTGCTACACGCTTTGTCGCACGCCCCGAGGCGTGCGACGCATTTTCAATCTCGCCGCGCGCCACGGGGCGCGCGGCCCCCTTTCTTTTCTGGCGCGTCGCCCGCTGCCCCGTCGCGCCGCCCAGGGGAGCCGCGCGCGGCCCCCGCCCGTCCGTTACGACGGTCTGGGGTGTCGCGTGCGGCCCCGTCGCCGCCCGCAGCGACCCCGTCCCCACCCGCCGCGGCCCCGTCTCCGCGGGCGACGGCCCCGTCGCCGCCCGCGCGGCCCCGTCGCCGCCGCAGCGGCCCCGTCGCCGCCCGCGCGGCCCCGTCGCCGCCCGCAGCGACCCCGTCCCCACCCGCCGCGGCCTCGTCTCCGCGGGCAGCGGCCTCGTCGCCGCCCGCGCGGCCCCGTCGCCCTACTCGCGGCCCCGGCCCCGTGCCCCTACCTGCGACTCTCTCAGGTCCGTGGTGGGCCCCCCCTTTCTCCACACCGCCCCCCCCCCCCCCCCCCCCCCTCCCCTCCCCCCATTTCCCGTCGGCGAGCTGTGGGGTGGCGGGTATGGGGGTGACCGGTGTGCATTCCTCCCTTTGCTCCTCCTCCTCCTTCGTCTCCCACTGCTGCAGCTGTCGCTGAGGGGGGTGGTTGTGTGGGAGACTGGGGTTTAGGGTTTAAGGGGGGTGCGTGGGAGGAGAGCTAGCGGTGTAGCAGTGGGTGTGTGCCAGGGGGAGTAGGACAGTTTGGGGAAGCTGCATGGAGGTTGCCGTTCTGTTGCCAGCAGCACTTGTAGTCCGGGGACTTCGTCCGGTAGCCCAGTCGTAGCCAGCTGTGCCAGCCGCCCGTGGGTCCGTTGCTCGTCTGCCGCTACTTAAGCCGCGGGGCCTGTTACTCCTGTAGTCCGGGCGCTTAGTCCGGTAGCCACTGTGCCAGTCTGCCTCCTGTTGCCCGTGTGTCTGCAGCTTCAGCCGTCGCCTCCTATCTCCTCTCCCCTCACTCTCTCTCCTCCTCCTCACTTGCCCGTTGTGACTACCACTAGCTTTACTCATAATTGTGAACTCTAAACTATTGCTTCTTGAACTTATGCTCAGAATGTGTGGTGACATTGTGATCCACCCTGAGCTTGTACTGCTTTGCTTGCTCTGCTGATTACACCCCACTTTGGCTATGGGGGTGTGTCAGAATATTATCTTATGTTCTCTAGCCTGTAGTGGGGTACTCTATAGCGAGTATAACCCCTTAGGGTTTCGTATATGTATCCCCTTGCTTGCTAGTGCAAACCCCTCTTTTGCCTAACTTCTTTCTTGCCTAGCTAGGTCGTTCCTAGCTATGGCTCCTTCCATTACGCTACTATCTTCACAGAGAGGAGGACGGCAAGAATTGCCACGAGCAAGAGCTTGATGGAAGTCCTCATGATGTCGATCAAGCGCGAAAACCAAATTGTTATGACTAAAGCAGAACGGCTTTAGTGACGAGTATCAAGAAAATGGAATGTGACGAGTACTAATAAAAAGGCAAGCTCGGGGTATCAATGGCTCGATGAATTCTGAATGTGAAATTGCTCCGCTTTCATCCTTAGCCTGCGTTTACCTTTATTCAAACTCGAGGTGACCGCCTCGCTCGGAACACGCTTCCAAAACGCATTTGGATGATCAGCACTGGCGAAATATATGACGAAATGAATTATTGCCGACTGAAATGCCGCTCAGCGAATCACAGCAAGTCCAACACTAACGCACGTGACTGAAAACCCCAAGAATGGCCGAACCTCACAATACGCAACGCGTCATAACAATCTGGCAAATGGGAAGACACACCACAGTCGGAAGAAATCAGACATGTCATGGATAGAATGGGGCACATCAGCATGTCATAGGAGTCAAACGCGTTCCAAAATGCAGGATCCAGTCCAGTCTTATAAGGTCGTATCCCCAGCTGGTGGCAAGATTGGTTAGTGGCATGCCACCAACTTGGAAAACACATAGAGGAATAAACCTCATGGTGTCAAGAGGGGATGCTTCGGAAAGTTGAACGGACACGTCGCAACACTCGCTTTGCGACAACTGACAAAATCGCCTGTCACCCAAACACATGCAAAATGAATGAATGAACTTGCTGAGTGCGCAGTTTAACGAATATCGAGAATGAGAATTACAAAATGATGATATAATGAAAGTGACGAGGCCTAAATAGGGGAAGTCCTAGCTAGGCAGGGAGGTTGGGCGAGGATGGCTCGGTGATGGTTGCGATTGGTGCGGAGGCGACTAGGGAGTGGTTCGGTGCGACGAAATAGGAAGGACAGGTTCGCCGCGTGACCCTCGGGATGGCCTCGCTAACGAGTGCCTCAGTAAGGATTTGTAAATCCTTACACCTACGAGAGCGTGTTATGCGAAGCACTTGCATGTTACGCAGATGACTCCAAAGATGAAACGGATCGGTTTGACCTTTTGATGATGCGCCGAATTAGGCTGACACGCTTTTGATTTCAGTCCCAGATGTAGCGAGAAACTAAGGTTGGTGACCCTGTCTCAAAGAATTGGTCAATCCGGGGCTAACCTGAATGGTCCTTGAGTCTGCACTGAGAACCCATATCACGCATTGGTAGTCTATTATCATTTCGAACAGTTAACGTAACAAGATTTAATTGTACCCCCGTGTACACTCCAAGTAAAATATTACAAGCAGATACTTCTAGAACATCTGTCAGCCATTACATCGAGCGGAGTTGTGTCCAGAACCCAGAATATGTCGGCATCCCACCCAAAACCCTTCCATATCAACCAACTCCCCAGACCTCTTACTTTCTGGTAAGCTTTGATAAGGCAGGGTTTATCTGTCTTTGATTTCCTAGTTCGCGGTGTGCAATCTGCTGCGCTCCCGCTTTTCCGTTGCCCCCTCGCGACGTGATTCTCCGGATTTGCGGGGAACGACCGCTTGCACTGCTTCACACCTCGTCGACATTCCATCAACCTCGGTCGCATTCATTGCAATCGTTCTCCCGTTTCCGGGGAGGGAAAGCCGTCTCCCGTCCCGTTATTCCATACGGTTGTGCGACTTGGACTTCTTTTTCGCGAGGGTTTAAATGCCGGGGAAGGGCCAAGGAAAGAGCGGCGGCGGTGGAATGGTGAAGGGAGGAAAAAAGAAGACCGAAATGAAAGGGTTGAAAGTAGCGCGTGAAGCACCGGAGGAGAATAAGGTCGAGGAAGAGGAAGAAGAGGAAATGATTGAGATGGAGGAGGAGGGGGAGAGTGAGGGAAAAGAGGAAGAAGGGAGTGAGGAGGGGGAGGAAGGGGAGGGAGAGGAAGAAGAGGAGGGGGAGGAAGAGGAGGAAGGACAAGCGGAGGAAATGGAGGGAGGGGAAGAGGACGACGAGGAAGAGGAGGAGGATGAGGATGATGAGGAAGAGGAAGGTGAAGAGGAAGGTGAGGAAGAAGAGGAGGAGGAGCAAGAGGAGCAGGAAGAGCAGGAGGAGCAGGGTTCAGAGAGCAAGAAGCGGAAGCGGAAGGAGGGAGCGAAGGGCGCGGGAGACGCGGAGAAGACAGCGGCGGGATCGGGGGATTCCGCGGGATCGGCGGGGAAGAAGGTCGCGGTCGGGACGTCGAAAGCGGACATGGTTGCCAAGGAAGTTTCCGCTAAGGACACGCCAGGGAAGGCAAAGAAAAGCAAGGAGGGAAAGAAGGAGAAGGGGGGGGATACGGCGGAGAAAGCGGGAAAAGGGGATAACAAGGGAAAGGCGGCGGAGACGGTGGAAAATGCGGCGAAGGAGGCGGGGAGCAACATTATGAGCGCAGTGGCGTTCGACACGCTGCACATCTGCGACGGCACGCGCAAGGGCATCGAGGAGATGGGCTTCACGCACATGACGGAGGTAAGCGTTTCGAAACCCTGGGGTTCAAGACCCTATGTGGGCTTTAAGCACGTGACGGCGGTAAACCCCTAGACCCTAGGCCTGGTACTGAATGCTCACGTGGGGAGCAGCATCATGAGCGCAGTGGCGTTCGACACGCACCACATCGGAGATGGCACGTGCAAGGGGATCGAGTAGATGGGCTTTAAGCACATGACGGAGGTATGGGTTTCTCATTCCCGATGCGGGCTTTAAGCAGGTGGCGGAGGAAGCGAAGCGCCAGGGTTAAAGAATTTACGCGCTTTAAGCACTTGGTGCAAGGTGCTAGGGGTTTGACAACGGAGTTGGGAGGTTGCTTTACGGGGTCTGTACAGGTGTCAGGGTATTAGGGTCATTGACAGAACAGAAAATGTTTTTTCTCTGAAGTGGCTTCTGGCTAACGTCTTAGCTGAGAAAGGGAAAAGGAGGTCTCCCATTTGTCAACCCGCTTCATTTCACAACCAGGTTATGAGAAAGGAAGAGGAGGGTTGTTTTCCTTCATTCAACCCTTTCGTTTCAAGCTGGGCATTATTCCACCTTGTTGCTAACCTTTTCCCCTCCCTTTATGTTTCTCTTTTACCTTATTGTTCATCTCCCACAGGTCCAGGCTCGGACCATACCGCACCTGCTGGCTGGGAAGGACGTGCTAGGTGCGGCGCGCACAGGCTCGGGGAAGACCCTGGCGTTCCTCATCCCCGCTATAGAGCTGCTGTTCCGCGGCAACTTCATGCCGCGCAATGGCACGGGCGTGATTATCATCTCTCCCACTCGCGAGCTTGCCATGCAGGTGGGTTTTCTAGAGAGAGATGTGCGTTTGGTGGGTTTGGGGATGCACGGTGGGGAAGGAAAGGCGCCATTATTCCTTGATGCGCGCAACGGCACGGGCCGAGGATCATAATCTCCTTCCTCCATTTCTCTCACGCGAAATGATTATAATCTCCTTCCTCCGTTTCTCCCACGCACCTCCCCACTTCTCCCCCTCCCCTCTTCCCCCTTACCCTCCCACTCTTTCCTCTCTCCTTCTTCCATCCTCGCACCCCCATGGCTCGGGGTAGACCTTCGGCATAGTGATGGGTGGGGTACCTCCTTCCTCCCTGTTTCTCACACCCCTTCAACCCACTCCCACCTACTTCCTTATTCGCTCCCTCAGATCTTCGGAGTGGCTCGGGATTTGATGTCCCACCACAAGCAGACCTTTGGCATTGTGATGGGCGGTGCGAACCGCAAGGCGGAGGCGGAGAAGCTTATAAAGGGGACGAACCTGCTGGTGGCGACGCCTGGGCGGCTGCTGGACCACCTGCAGAACACCAAGGGGTTTGTCTTCCGGAACCTCAAGTGTGTGGTGATCGATGAAGCGGATCGCATCCTGGAAGTGGGATTCGAAGAGGAGATGCGGCAGATTCTGAATCTCCTGCCCAAGGTGCGTGAGTGGTGTTCCTCGACCTGCTTCCCAAGGTACGGTCGCAAACACTCACCCACTCACCAGCTGTTCACTTCCAGTACAGAACACCAAGGGGTTTGTGTGTCGCAACCTGAAGTGCCTTGTGATCGACGAGGCGGATCGCATCCTGGAAGTGGGGTTTGAAGAGGAGATGCAGCAGATTCTGAATCTCCTGCCCAAGGTACGTGAGTGGTGTTCCCAAGGTGAGTGTGATGATCCTCCCAAGGTGAGTGTGTGTGGTGATCCCAAGGTGAGTGGTGGTCGCCAGGGCGGAGCGGCTGATGGATCACTTACAGAGCACCAACCAAGGGGTTTGTGTGCCGCAACCTCAAGTGCCTCGTGATCGACGAAGCAGATCGGATTCTGGAAGTGGGATTTGAAGAGGAGATGCGGCAGATCCTCAACCTGCTGCCCAAGGTGCGGTCGCAAACACTCACCTGCTGTGTGATAATCCCAAGGTGCGTGTGTGATGATCCCAAGGTGTGTCTGTGATGATCCCAAGGTGCGTCTGTGATGATCCCAAGGTGCGTCTGTGATGATCCCAAGGTGCGTCTGTGATGATCCCAAGGTGCGTCTGTTATGATCCCAAGGTGCGTCTGTGATTATCCCAAGGTGCGTCTGTGATGATCCCAGGGTGCGTCTTTTCCCTCTCCCATGTGCCCCTCACCTTTGACAGGACCGCCAAACGATGCTCTTCTCAATCGAGCCCCACTTAGAGGCCATGGGTTTGCGTGATAGTGTTTGCGTTTGTAGTAGGTAGGTGATTGTGTTTGCGTCTTTTCCCTCTCCCATGTGCCCCTCACCTTTGACAGGACCGCCAAACGATGCTCTTCTCAGCCACTCAGACCACCAAGGTGGAGGACCTGGCACGAGTCAGCTTCAGCCGCACTCCCGTCTACATTGGTGTCGACGACGGGCGGCACAAGGTACTGTAGTTAACGGGTGGCACAACGTACAGTAGAGCTTCAGTCGCACTCCCGTCTACATTGGCATCGATGACGGGCGGCACAAGGTACTGTAGCTCCAGATGATGACGGGCGGCACAAGGTACTGTTGCGCCAGATGATGACGGGCGGCACGAGCTATTGTAGTGTTGGAGGGCGGGTGGCAGGAGGTATTGTCGCTGCAGGCTACGGGTGGGGTGAGGTAGTGTTTGGTGATGTTCGGCAGCTCACCACCAGTGTCGCTGGTGCGGTAGTGTTTGACAATTTGAGTGCATGTGTAGGCAGTGGATAGGATGGCACAGACTTAGACGCGTGTGCTGCTTTCTTTTCCAAATCACTCACTCACACTGCCCACCGTGAGACTGGTGCAGGGGTGCTGCAAGGTGGGTTGGGGTGGGGTGGGGTGGAGTGGGGTGGAGTGTGTGCACTGCCACTTAGTGTAATGCCACACCACACCCATCAATGTTGCCTGCCGTTTGCCTCCCCCATTCCCCCTCACTCTATGTTGCCTGCGCCCTGCCGACCTCATAGTTCAATGATCCGTGCCTGTGCTTCCATGCAGGCCACGGTGGAGGGCCTGGAGCAGGGCTACTGCGTGGTGCGCAGTGAGGAGAGGAGCGCTCTAGTGTGATGGCATGGCGCTCAATGCATGGCTCTTATCCTTGTTCTTTGCCATGCTTGTACAGGCCACGGTGGAGGGCCTGGAGCAGGGCTACTGCGTGGTGTGCAGTGAGGAGCGCTTCCTGCTGCTGTTCACATTCCTCAAGAAGAACCTCAAGAAGAAGGTGAGGGGGGGGGGAAGGAAAGAAAATGGCAGATGGGGGCTGGGTAGTGGCCGGTGGCCCGGTGGTTGCACTTTGATGCAATGAGGACGAGCGCTTTTTTGCTGCTCTTCACCTTTCTCATGAAGAACCCCAAATTTTCACTCATGTGACAGTGCTGCCGTGAAATTCTACTCAGAGCTTCTCAACTACATTGACATCCCCGTGCTGGACATTCACCTTCCGCTCTCTCTTTCTTATCACCCCCCTTCACCCTTCAGGTCATGGTCTTCTTCTCCTCGTGCGCTGCAGTCAAGTTCTACTCGGAGCTTCTAAACTACATTGACATTCCCGTGCTGGACATTCACGGCAAGCAGAAGCAGCAGAAGCGCACGACCACCTACTTTGAGTTTGTGAACGCGGACAAAGGGATTCTGCTGTGCACGGACGTGGCTGCGAGGGGGTTGGATATCCCAGCGGTTGATTGGATCATTCAGTACGACCCGCCCGATGATCCCAAGGTGAGTGACATATCAAAAGCTTAGCTAGGCTAAAGGAGCCATAGCTAGTTGAGTTCGAGTAAGTTGAGTAGAGTCGAGAGAATTGAAAAGAGAAGAAGCAGTTTCACTATGGAGCGAGCAGTACATATAGGCAAAAAGAAAGGTGCACCACCAAACAGAATATTGTATAACTACAGTAGTCTACACTACAGGCAGTTACAAAACAATATATAGTTTTATATATTATTCTGACATGACAGCCTTGTGACACTCAAGTGAGGAAGAAAACAGAAGCAGGGTAAGGGATGTGACTGCGAGGGGGTTGGATATTCCCGCTGTGGATAGGACCATTCAGTACGACCCGCCCGATGATCCTAAGGTGAGCGAGCAAGCAAGCAAGCAAGCAAGCACCAGCAGTAGTAGTAGCAGCAAACTCACAAGCAGAAGCCACAGCAGAAGTGGAAGCAGAAGCAGCAGAAGCGCACCACCACGTACTTTGAGTTTGTGTTGCATGAGGATGGCCGCTGCCTTGGACAAGGGCATTCTGCTCTGCACCGATGCTCCAAAGCAGCGACCATGCTTTTGAGTCGACTCAAAAGTCGCTCCGCTGTTCTCGATTCCAGAGGATATGCAGTTCCTGGTGTACCTGCGGTCGGCCAAGGTACCTGTGAACGAGTTCGAGTTCCCCTTTCCTCCGCCTGCTCTCTTTCCTCTCGCTCAGGAGTACATCCACAGAGTGGGACGAACAGCACAAGGAGAAGGTGGGAGTGGCCGTGCCCTCCTCTACTTCATTCCAGAGGATTTGCAGTTGCAGGTGTACCTGCCGTCGGCCAAGGTGCCTCTGAGCCCATGGACCCTCTTTCTCCTCTCTCGCCCTCCCTCAGGAGTACATTCACAGGGTGGGACGAACCGCAAGAGGGGAGGGCGGCAGCGGGCGCGCTCTGCTCTTCCTCATTCCAGAGGAGCTCCAGTTCCTGGTGTACCTGCGGTCGGCCAAGGTGCCTCTGAACGAGTACGAGTTCCCCAGCCACAAGATCGCCAAAGTGCAACCGCAGCTGGTGAGTTGACATTTCAGTGGTGAGTGCAGCATGAAGATCCCAAGGTGAGTGTGGAGATCCCAAGGTGAGTGTGGAGATCCCAAGGTGCCTCTTAACGAGGATGAGTTCCCAAGCCACAAGATAGCCAAAGTGCAACCGCAGCTGGTGAGGCGGTGGGAAGGGAAGAGAGTTCCCAAGGTGTTTTTGGAGATCCCAAGGTGCCTCCTCTGAACGAGTGGGAGTTCTCCCAAGCCACAAGATCGCCACAGTGCAACTGCAGCTGGTGCGTTGAGGGGAGCAGCAGGTGGTGAGCTGGGTAGGATTGGTTCTCCCTACCACTCACTCACTCACTGCCCTTCTGCATCTTGTAGTGTCCATCTCTCCCCCCCCCCCTCACCCGGCCTTGTGCTCATCCACCCCACCCCACTGCACCTATGCTGCTTGTCATCTCCCTCCCTTCTCCTCTCAACCCTCCTTCACCCCACCAGGAGCAGCTGATACCCAAAAACTACTATCTTGTGCTCAGCCCCCACTGTCCCTCTGCTTGCTGTCATCTCCCTCTTTCCTTCTCAACCGCACACCACCCCTCTTCTCCCCACCAGGAGCGGCTGGCAGCCAAGAGCTACAACCTTGTGGTCAGCCCCCACTGTCCCTCTGCTTGCTGTCCCACTGCCCCCTCTTCTCCCCACCAGGAGCGGCTGATAGCCAAGAACTACTACCTGCATCAGAGCGCCAAGGATGCTTACCGGGCCTACCTGCTGGCATACCGTATTCTGCTACTCCACCTTTTGTCCCCTCCCTCCCTCTCTCTCACCCTCCATTCACCCCCATTCACCCCACCAGGAGCGGCTGATAGCCAAGAACTACTACCTGCATCAGAGCGCCAAGGATGCTTACCGGGCCTACCTGCTGGCCTACGGCTCGCACGCACTCAAGGACACGTTCAATGTGCACCGGCTGAACCTGCAGGTACGGTGCAGTATGGTAGTTGGCTTGGAGCTTATGTGGGGTACACTAGGCCTGTCTGGGGGCCTATCTGCTGGCGTACGGCTCTCATGCGCTCAAGGACACGTTCAACGTGCACCGGCTGAACCTGCAGGTACGGTGCGGTACTGTGCGGTGTATGAGTTAGAACACGCTGTTCTACCTGCTGGTGTACGGCTCGCACGCGCTCAAGGACACGTTCAACGTGCACCGTCTCAACCTGCAGGTATGGCGCGGTGCTGTACGGTATGGTACGATACAAGAGTGAAAACGCATGAGGGGCATAACAGGCCTACCTACCTGACCTGCAGCTCTCATGCGCTTCAACGTGCATTTTGCATTTTGCTTCTTCCGAGCATACCCTCAACAAGTCCGGTTGTCCCTTTTGTTTAATTCCCATTTCACATGCCCTCGCCCGCTGATTGTCGATCTTGCAGGGTGTTGCAGCGTCGTTTGGCTTCAGCAGCCCACCCAAGGTGGTGATCAACATGGATAGCAACGCGTCCAAGTTCCGTAACAAAGCACACAAAGGTGCTCGAGGTCCGGGGAAATTCAATGCCAGCAGCGGACACGCCTTCAGCGCGAGTAATCCGTATGGGAAGCGTGAAAGCGGCGACAAAAGGCAGTTCACTAGAAGCTAGCTCGAGTCGAAAGGTGGTTACGTTTTTATAACTGGACTTATGGTACAAAAAAAAAGCTATTCCGGTTCTTAATGTGTCAGCATAAAATGACTTGCAATGACGGAAGCTCTGCTTGTCAAGGCATTGCTCTGATCCGGCAGGAACATCTGATTGACCAAACCCACAGTCCTCAAGCATGGACAATCCGACTGAAGCTGCCTGGCCCTGCTTTTGGGCCGTGGTACATCTAAGGAGGGATTGTCTGAATCTGTAATTCCGACGGATATCGCACCACACCAAGTCTTAGGACGTGGGCCCAATCGACTTTGATCAGATCGGATTGAATCAGGTTGGATTGATTCGAATTGCTTGTGGCCGCTCGATCAAAGCTGATTTCCCTCTAAAATGTTGGAAACAATCGGTCCTAAGCGCCTCTGTCGTGTCGAAACACTAAGGCACAAGCGAAGCAAAGCATATCGAGGCACCAGCGAGTCAACCCTTGTAGGTTGAAGTAACCGCTGGAGGTTACGCGAAAGTCAAAGGTCAGCGACCTTTGACCTGACAAATACAGTGCGACAGCAAGGACACACAACTGACTCGTTACAGAGCAGTTGCCCGAGTCGTCACTGTATCGAACCGCAACAGCAACAAGTAAAACAGTTATAACCGTATCCTTTCATATTCCTTGTACTCTTATATAATCTTGTATCTCTTTGCTTTGATCAACTTACTTTGCCCTCACATACTAGCGCAAGGTGGTTCACAACTCTTTATTAACGCTTCCGCTACTACACCAACTCTACCCAGAGTTCACCCCTGCAAAGATCCTAAGGGCTTTTTCAGCCCAACATGGTATGAGAGCAATCAGGGGAAATTCAACTTCTATACCGACAGTATCAATCAGCATGGCTACACAAAAGGAAAGGAGCAACTCCAACGGCTCCCAGGGCACTACTCCTACTCCACCTCCTGCCTCTGGCCTACAGACAGAGGAGGGCACGGCAACAAGACCCAGAGCAACATCTCCCGAGACTCGCGCGAATCAATCTGCAGACTTCGACCAGAGCATGATGGAGAAGTTTTTCTCCTTCATGTCCTTCTACGAGCAACACCAGCAATCGGCACCTACGCAGTCACACCACAGCAACAACAATGGAGCAACACCCATGAGTCTCGACGGCTCATCATATGCACGAGGAAATCAACAACAGCAGCCTACCTTTGCTCCGTACGAGCGCGGGTCCATCAGCTTTATGCCACACCCACAGCCCTCACCTGGACAAGAAAAACCACTGGACGCATTGCAAGTTCAGTCGCAGTTCGCACACGTTCTGAAGATGCAGACGTCAAGACCCTTCGATGGAAAGGACTTCTTCACCTGGTCGTTCGAGTTCGAGCTGATGATGGAGGGCGCGCAGATAATCGGGTTCTTCGACGGGACTCTGCCATACCCAACAAACGGCACACAGTACGAGAAGCAGCAATACACCTATCAGTCAATGATGGCGTACACGATCCTACTGAGGAACATCACCCCGACTCAACAGCAGAACAAAAGGACTTACCGAGGTTACGGTAACTCCGCGGAGCTCGCGTACAACCACCTGGAGAGCCTGTATCAAGCAACAGACAGCGTAAGTCAAAGTCGGTTAATGGCGCAACTGACAACGGTTGAAATGAAACCAGGGGAGAAAGGAATGAGAAGAAACGAGAATGAATGAACTATAAATGAACTGAGTACAAGTACTAACCCTAATTGGGTTGTACCCCTTATGGGCTACCCCACTATAGCCTACACAATAAGCACAAGCTATATGTTCTGACACACCCCCATAGGCAAAGTGGGGGAGAACAAGGGGTCACAAGACCAGTAAAGCAAAGCAAAGCAAAGCAAGCTCAGGGTGGATCACAAAGTCACCACACATTCCAAGCACAAGTTCAAGGCCACAAGGCCAGTTCACATGCAGGAGAACATATATATAAAGGACTAGACAAGCAAAAGCAGGTGTATATATATGCAACAGTACAAGCAAGGTCAAGAGGTGAGCAAGTGAGGCAAGACAGGCACAAGACCCAGCTGCGTGAAGAAGCGCTGATGATCACAAGGCGCAAGTGCCTTGGTGAAGACATCAGCAGTGTTGGCCTCAGAGGCCACGTACGCAAGCCGCAACTGACCACGCTGCTGCAGCTTACAAGCAAGGAAGTAGCGAAGAGCAATGTGCTTTGTTCTGTGCTCCAGTCTCTGCTCTCGACACAAGGCCAGCATGGCCTTATTGTCTACGTACAGGACTGGAGGAGAACGAGGCGACTCTCCAAGGTCGGTCAGCAGGTAGGTGAGCCAGCGAAGCTCCTGTGCAGCCATGGCCCCGGCGTAGATCTCAGCCTCACAACTGGAGCCGAGAACAGAAGACGAGCGAGTAGCCCGCCACGAAACAGAGCCGGAACCAAGGCTGAAGGTGTAGCCCTGTGACGACCGCTGCGTAGCCTGGTCGTCAGCCCAAGAAGCGTCCGCGTGCCCAGTGAGGATCACTGGACTCCGCCCTCCAAGCACTAGCCCCATGCCCGACGTGCTGCACAAGTAGCGCAACACCCTCTTCGCTGCAGCCATGTGCTCTGGTCGGTGTCTACCAGGAGCAACAAAGCGTGCGAGAATGCTAAGAGGGTATGCAAGGTCAGGTCGTGTGCAGGTCATCAGGTACATGAGGCAGCCAACAAGCTCTGGATACGGGCCACTCGACTCTACGGACTCATCCGAAGGTAGAGCTGAGAGCGAGTGGCGAGTAGACAGAGGAGTGGCCTGAGGCGAGGAGTACGTGAAGCCGAAGCGCTGAAGGACCTGCTGCACCATGTGTGACTAAGTCAGGGTAATGGAGCGGCGTGCTCTGTCCCGGGTGATCTGCAAGCCAAGGTAGCTGCGCAATTCACCCAGGTCAGTGCACGTGTGTCTCTTCTGCAGCTCGGACTTCACGTAGGCGAGTCCAGTAGTGTCACCCGTGGCAAAGACCAAGTCGTCGACGTACACGAGGATGTAGAACGGCGGCAGAGAGGTGTCGGTGCGCAGAAATAGCGACGGGTCGGCAGTAGAAGGAGCAAACCCAAGAGCTGCAAGCGTAGTCCTCAGTGTGTCGTGCCACTCACATGGCGCCTGGCGGAGACCGTAGACTGGACGCCGGAGACTCCACTGGGTACCAGGAGGGAAAGACCCAGTGAAGCCAGGTGGGTGGCGCAACCAGATCTCCTCGTGCAGGCTGCCCTGCAAGAAAACTGTGCTGAAGTCAAGAGAGTGCAGCTCGTAGTCACGGTGAGCAGCAACATGCAGCAGTCCTCGAAGAGTGGCCATCTTCGGGGTGGGAGAGAAGGTCTGAAAGTAGTCAACTCCCTGCCGCTGACTGAAGCCACGAGCCACGTAACGCGCCTTGAAGACAGGCGGAGAACCCGGCGGCCGCTTCACCCTGAAGATCCACATGCCACTGACGATGTTCGCCCCAGGAGGGGGGACAGCGTCAACGTAGGTGCCTGTGGACTTCCAGGAAGCCATCTCTGCATCCATAGCTGCCTGCCACTGAGAGGAGTAGGGACCCTCTATCGCCTCCGCGTAAGAGCGCGGAGTCGGGATGTCAAGTGCATCCGGGTCTCCCTCAGGGGTAAGCAGTACGGACACGAGATGAGGTGAAGCAGCCGCCAAGCACTGGAACTCCTCCTGCCTGTCCTCAAGGACGTCCGTGCCAAGGGCACACTCACCCCCGACGGACGGAGGACAGACAGACTAAGACTCAGCGACAAGACTAGCAGCGTAGTCTAGGCGACAGCGAGCAACAAAGTCGACAAGCTCAGCAACTAGGGCAGACGCAGCAGTGGACTCGAAAGAAGGGTCAGTGTTGACAGTAGCCAGGAGACGCGTGACAGTAGGACTGGCAGCACGAAGAGAGTCCGACTCCGGGTCGGCAAAAGCAGGAAGAGAGGACTCAGGAGGACAAGGCAAAGGGGCACGCAGAGGAGCAGTGGATGGACGCAGAGACATCCGGTGCGTGCCAGGGACAGGAGGAAGACACTGACGCGAACCACGACCACTAGTACGAGCAGCACGGACAGGCGACGCAGGGCGAGACGCAGGCTCACGACGCTCAGTAAGACCTCCAGTAGGACCAGTGTAGGGAGAAGGAGCAGGCAAAGGGGAGGTAGGCTGCAACTGTAACTGTGACGGGACTGGCTGTGGATACTCTAAAGAAAGAGGAGGACCAGTAGAAGGCGGAAGACCAAGAACCTCCTGCAGGAGTGGAACGAAGTACGGCGGAGGCCGCGTGGCGACGCAAGACACAGCAGGTACAGTACTAGTACCCCTAGCAGGAGCACCCGCTCCAGCAGCACCTCTAGCAGCGCCAGAACCTCTGGCAGTACCAGGAGTACCCGCAGCAGGACCGCCAGCAGTAGTCTCAGCTTCAACACCGTCAGCAGCACCAGCTCCAGTCGAACCCGCAGGCCCTGCAGCTCCAGTACTCCAAGTAAGAGTACCTCCGGGACCCGTGACAGCAGCACCCTCAGTAGCCGAAGAACCTCCAGCACCAGCAGCACGCCTCCAGCGCCGGGCAAACCACTCGCGCAGCTCCCGTGGAGAGAGTGGCTCCCGCAGAGACGAAGCACCCGGAGAACCTCCAGGTGGAGCACCTCCAAGCTCAGCACCCCCAGGCTCAGCACACCCAGGCTCAGCACCCCCAGGCTCAGCACCCCCAGGCTCAGCACCCCCAGGCGCAGCACCCCCAGGCTCAGTACCCCCAGGCTCTGCACCCCCAGTCTCAGCACCCCCAGACTCAGCATCCCCAGGCTTAGCACCCCCAGTGTCAGCACCCCCAGGCTCAGCACCCTCAGCAGCACCAGAGTCACCAGTGACCTCGACAGGCTCGACTGCGTCTACCTGGGACACACCTGAAGGGGACGGACCCTGAGGGGGGAGGGGGTCTATCGGAGGAGGACCTGGTACAAGGAAGAGCGGCGGCGGGGGGAGGGACGGAGTGCGGTAGAGG